CAGTGAAACATAACTACAAAAAGAGTGAGCTATTGTTTCTAACTAAGTGGAAGGCTCTGGAAAGACTGCAGAGTTGCTTAAGTTGCTGTAAAGTTAAGATCAGGTGAGACAAACGTTAAAAGACTGGAAAATACAATGAAATTCCAGAAGGACTCTACAGCCAGGTTGCTTCCCAAGTGTCAGAGTTCTCATTCCATTTCAAATAAAATAAAGGGGGAACTTATTTTAAAAAACCCATTGCTGTCGAGCGGGTTCCGACTCCTAGCGACCCTACAGGACAGAGTAGAACTGCCCCACTGGGACCTACCGACCTTTTGGTTAGCAGCCGAGCTCATAATCACTGTGCCACCAGGGCTCCGTGGAGCATATAGATGTTATAGGTAAGGTTTTTGCAAGGAAAATGACAAACTTCAATCAGAAGAAAAGACCTGGGCCCTAATTCAAAAGATTAGCCAATGAATATCCATGTATCTTTAAAATAAAGGGTATCTTTTTATTGGTTGGTTCCTTTCTTCAACCAACTTTTCCAATTAACAAACCAACAAATGAGTTGTCTCAACTGCATCAGAGATGGGAACATCTGCTGTATACTGAGGAGCCCTGGTGGCGCAGTGGTCAAAGGGCTCAGCAGCCAACCAAAAGGTCAGTGGTTCAAACCTACCAGCTGCTCCGAGGGAGAAAGATCTGGCAGTCTGCTTCCGTAAAGGTTTACAGCCTAGGAAACCCTATGGGGCAGTTCTACTCTGTCCTTTAGGGTAGCTTTGATCGACAGCAGTGGGTTGGATTGGTTCTGCGTGTTGAGGTCTGGCCTTTCTTGATAAAGGTGTCTAATGTGGTGTCACCATAGAGCTGCTTGCCTTCCATGCAGGACACCATAAGAACAGGCCAGTACACCTCCTGCACAGCCACCACCCGTCCGTCAGTGGAGGGTTGTACCATATACTGCTGTGATGCTGAACAGGTTTCAGAGGAGCTTCCAGACTAAGCCAGACTAGGAAGAAAGGCCTGGTGATCTACTTCCAGAAATCAGCTAATGAAAATCCTACGGATCACAATGGTCTGATCTCGTTGTTCACAGGGTTGCCATGAGTCGGGGGCTGACTCGACAGCAGCTAACAACAGCAACGACAGCACGTACAGTCCCAGAGCTGTCCCTCCAGACAGCAGTAAGAACGACAGTAATTTCGAGCGGTCAGAAACTATACGCCCTCTTGCAAATTCACGCTGTCCCCTAGTACATGAAGAATAAAGAAATACGCTAAACTTTGCATAATCCAAATGTTCCCACACTGATTTTACCATGGGATCCTTCTTGGGGAGCAACAGCTGTTGACATCCTGCAGAGGAACACACTTTGGGAATCGATGCTTCAGGGGTGATGGAAGAGGGGTAATGTCTGCCCCCCATCCTTCACAGCTGAGTTGGAGACATAAGACATAGATTCTGCACACATACACCCATAGACAACAGGTAATTAACACTATCAGTTCCTACAGTCTTAGGGTCAGAATCAGTAAGTAGGTAAAATTAGTCGATGTTACAGATCCGAACAACGGTACCCCTCCCTCCGCCTCCCGTTAATTTTCACAGATTCCGGGCCTCGGTCTCAAAAACTTGCTCTTGGTCTCCTGTTCTAGGAGGTTCAAAGTGAACTCACACTTCTTAAGTTCTGACTGCGTGTCGGACTTGGCTTTTCATTTATGTTATTTAATTTTCAGAATCATGGGAAATAGGTATTTTTTTTTTCCCAAAGAAATAGGATCTGAGTGATCACATCGTTAGTGGGAGGGTCTCTGTTGTTGATCTGGTTTCAAAGTCCCTTTTCTTTCCCCACTCCCTGTTGCCAAGGGCCTTTATAACCTCTATCGTGAACCTGGGTTTGGGGGGTGTGTCCACATGTGTATGGATAACCAGGTTGATCTGGCGGAAGCCCCCGGCTGTGTGGCCCAGCTGCGCTCTGCTGTGTTCCAGCCTAGCCTGGGCTTCTCCCTTCTCTCTTCTTCTCCGTCAGTCCAGAGGTTCTGAGTCCTGACTTTATAGGCCCGGGGGGCCCCTCCCTTTTCATCTCTTGATGGCCACTGTGATGAAGGCATTAATCGAGGGACGTCTTTGCCTGGGTTACGTGCTTTATTGGCAGCATCTGCAACTGAGCCAGAGAGAGCGGTGGGTGGGCGGGAAGGTGTAGGTGGAAGGCTCTTACTGATGCTTTTCAGCAAAGTCCTCTGCACTGTGCGGGTCTTTTTCATAAGAGGCGTTCTGGGTCCTTCTCTCCCGTTTGCTCGGTGCTCAGCTAGTACCTTCTCTCTCTCCTCCCTCTCTACAATCCTCTGCCTTCTTCAGCTTGGAGTGGAGGTGGCAGAGGAGCACAAGAAAAACTCTGAGCTTATGGGGGGTGTTACAAGAAGAGGGTGAATTAGGTACGAGCGGAGGCACAGCCAGGACGGACCGAGCCGGCGACCCTCCAGTCTCAGGCTGAAGACTTAGCTCAGGAGTGAGCGTCCAGTGGGGTGTGGAAAGTAGCCAAGGATGGGGTGACGAAGTGAGGGAGGGGGTGCTGGCCTGGGCTCCTGAGTAGGGGACTTTGTCTTGCAGTCCCATGTCCTGCCTCTTCTCCTCTTCAGAAGAGAGGTTGTTGGGATGCTCACATCAGGCTTCAAAAATGAATCGAGGTGACCCGGGGGTGGAAAGGGAGAGAGTGCTAACTCATTGTGAGGATTGCAACCAATGTCACAAAACAATTTGTGTATAAATTATTGAATGGGAAACTAACTTGCTCTGTAAACTTTCACCTAAAGCACAATACGATGTTCAAAATAATAATAATAAATAAGCAGACTGCTAGTATAAAAAAGATGCCTCAAGGTGGGATGTGGTGGAGGAGAGAGGACTAACATTTATTAAGCACCTTCAGTGTGCCAGGGTCATTGATTCATTATAATCTTCACACGAGATGAGTGTGGTCAGCTTACAAACTGAGAGGTAAAGCTTAGATTTGAACCCAGATCTGACTGCCTCAAGAGCTTTCTACCACACCCATGAGTCCATATTTATACATTTACACACTAGATCTAGATCTACAGTGGGGATGAGGGGTGACAGCCACAATTCCCCAATCTTGGGCGTGACAGGTGTGTTCACAGAAGATGGGTCTGTCCCTAGAGAGCCCCGTCTCTCATGGATCTTTCACTTACGTAGCTCCGGGAGCTGTAGGGTGGACACCAGGCTCATGGGGCCACTCAGTCCATTGGAGCCCACGGACATTCTGACAATCTGGGAAATCAGACAGACAGCGGACTTGGGCATCCCTGCCATGTGCTCCTTCAGGACAGCCCCCAAGAGGCCTGAGGCAGGACCTATCCCCTCATTCCCTGGCTCCATGGTCTAGGTGCTGGGGTCTCTCCAGCTTCCTCTCCGCTCCTGAATCCTCAGCCCACTTTCTCCAAATCTGGTTATTGTTTGTTCCCATTTTCAAACTGTGCTCACTCAGCAATGCTTGGGGGGTGGTCCGCCAGTCCCTGGAGCTGGGCGGGGGGTGGATGAGTGGGGGGAAATGCAGACTCCCTAAGATCACAGTCTGTTTTCTGCCACCCCTAAAGTCTGAGAACCATAGCCCAGTCTCAATGGCTTCTGGAGATGGTCCCATTTCAAATCAAGAGTTGTTGATTGACTGATTGATTAGTTCATTCTCAGGATCCATTTGAATTGTCTCCTTCTCTCTGAAAAAAGATTTCCCTTTACTCCTTGTTCTTCTCCAGTGTTCTCAGGTCAATATGTCTATAAACCAAAGAAAACCAAACCCATGGCCGTTGAGTCAACTCCGACTCATGGCAACCCCATGTGTTACAAGAAGAACTGTGCTCCATAGGGTTTTTCAATGACTGTAACCTTCTGGAAGTAGATCGCCAGGCCTTTCTTCCAAAGTGCCTCTGGGTGGGTTCGAACTGCCAACCTTTTTGATAGCTGGCAAGCGCTTAATGATTTGCACCACACAGGGACTCCTAAACTTGTCTACAGTCTTTGCTATTTATTTTGTATCCGTGTGTCCACTGAGAATAGCAGTGGGCCAGGCCAAGAGCTTGCAGACTGCTGGGAGCCCACCTGTGGTCACGGGATCCACCTCCTAGTCCCAACACACACACACACACACACCAGCCTAGACATACAGTCATTGACCTTTCTTTCTTTATTGCCACTTCTCTTGAAACTAGCGCCAGAGGATTACAGTTTTGAAGTCATTCCTGAATCCAACCAAAGGCCTATCTGTTGCAACTAACCCTACACACAAACACATTAATACCGTCATGTGTTAGACACGCAGCAGGCACTTTATAAATTGCATTTGAATATGAGGTATTGTCACCATTTTACAAATGTAGAAAGCTCTGTTGTTCTGTGTCACGGAGCTGGCTAAGTGAGGGAGCTGGATTTCAGTTAGCCCCCCGCCCCAAGTCCATGCCGTCAGCCAGCGCCCCCTACACTGCCCCTCAAGTGGCCGGTCTGATCTCGAGGAAGGTGGAAAGGCGCACCCTGCTTCCCCAGCCAAAACGGAGCCGGAGGACTCTGGAAGAACAGAACACAAGTTCTGGCAGAGAAGCAATGTTTTCCTCCGCAGGAGGAAGGCCACCTGGGGGAGGAAGGATCTGTCCTGGTAACCGTAACCCCGCCTCACGGGATTTCACCCTGTTCATGAAATGGTATGGTACACGTGCCCAGTTTTAACTCTGCAAAATATTTTTGTTCCCATGACCTCATTGGATGTCACCTTTCTGAGGCAGTGGTGGCAGCAGCAACAACAAAGCACTGGAGGCAGTATCCCAGCTTTCGTCCCACTGAAGCCTCCCCTCCCACTTGGCCTCTAGAAGATAGTATCCCCACCTCCGATACTCCTGTCTCTGAGGCCTCACCCTCTCCAGTTTGGAGATGACCACAGAGTCTGGCACCCAAAGGGTTATTCCTGCCCCGCACTGCAATTGCACACCCCGTCACACACACACCCTTACCATGAGGTGTTGGAAGAGCCAAGAACGCATTATGTTGGTGGCGTGCTTGGGCAAGACTCCTCGTTTGTTCTTGGACTTCTTATCCTCATTGTCCAGGAGGGAGGTGAGGTCAAGGTTAACCTTCAGGGCACATGGAGAAGAAAGCAGCATCAGCAGCCTGGCAGGGGAGCAGCCAGGGACCTGTTGGCACAGCGACCCAGGCTTGTGTGGCCAACCCCCTTTCCCAACTCATTCTAAGGGCCCCGGGGAGGCCATCTTCCTCCCTCACCCCACACCAGCCTCCCAGAGAATGGAGATGAGGCTTGGGGTTGGGAGAGAAAGGGAGAAGGAGAAGGAGGATGAGGGAGGAGGAAGAAGGGGAGGGCGAGAAGGGAACAGAGAGGAGAGGGAGGAAACAGTCATGCAGAGGGTATAGACGACGTGAATCACCATAAACCGTCTAACAGTGATTAGCATCTCTTGATACTTTACAGTTTGCAAAGCACCTTCCTATCCAGTGTGTAGGTTGGTAGGTGTCATGGATTGAATTATGTCCCCCCAGAAATGTGTGTATCAATTTGGCTGGGCCGGGATTCCCAGTACTGCGTGGTTGTCCTCCATTTCGTGATTGTAATTTTATGTTAAAGAGGATTAGGGTGGATGTAACACCCTTACTAAGGCCACATCCCTGATCCAGTGTAAAGGGAGTTTCCCTGGGATATGGCCTGCACCACCTTTTCTCTTACAAGAGATAAAAGGAAAGGGAAGCCAGCAGAAAGCAAGCAAGAAGAAAGCTGCAGTAGATGACTAAGACAGTAGGGCTGTGTGCTGTTAGTACGAATTCCCCTTTTACTGATCATAATGCAGACTCAGAGAGGTTAGGTGATTTATCCAAGATCACAGAGCAAATGCCGGGTCTCAGGCCTCGGATTTCAGACCTTTTTACTGTACCATACCTCCCCCTTGTGTGTGCACACTGCACAAACACACATTGAGGTACACGGTCGGTGGCTGGGCCTGAAGACCAGAAACAGGAAGTGCCCCGGATCCTTTGATGTAGCCCCGGGAAGCAGCACAATCCCAGTAGCTGATAAAACCTTTTCTAGACCCAGTTCCTTATCTGTAGAGTGGGGATAAAGCCACCTGGGAGCAGCAGAGCGAGGACCGATGAGTTAAGGTGTGAGGTGCCTAGCAGGGGGTAAGCGGTCACGACCCTCCACCCCCATGCCTGTGCGCGTGTGCGCATAGCTGTACGCTCACCTGTGGGGTCTGGATCTGGATGGCTCCCTGGGGGATTGCTTGGGTGACCACCTGACCCTGGGAGGTGACCATGGTAACTGGCTGGTATAAGGCTCCACCTGAGGAGACAAGCAGTTTTTGGGTCCCCTGCCTTGGGAGTGGGTAGGAACAGGAGTGAGCAGGGCTCCCAATTCCCCTGAACTCACATGAAAAGATCCTCTACACTAGAGTCTTGGGAGAGAGGTGTGAACTGTAGGTATTCGGCCTCCGGTGGGGGTAGGTGGGAAGAAAGTCTGGGGTGAAAGTGGGGGTGGGTTGTCCAGAGCTGAGAGCAAGGTCACTGGTGGGATGGGGGGGTGCTCTCTAGCCATCCGAGTGTTTGAGGAGGGGACAACAGCCTTCCTCGGTCTTTGGAGGCTCAGGAGAATTGGACCCAAATTTGCCTCAAACCACTCTGCTCCTTACAATCCAGTCTTGGTGCTAACCACCTATAAATTTACAAGACACTTCAGTCTAGAAACTAAGCTATGAGCCCCTTCCTCAGCAGGGGGCACCCCTCCAGTTTCCCACAATGCTGTGTGCAGCGCCCTGTCCCCTCAGCCCCCTCGGGGCTGCCCTTCCTCCTCCCAGGGCGTCGCCCATGTTCCCCAGCCTTTGTTCCCTGCACCCACCTGACATGGCTTGTGAGTTGACAGTTGTCATGGCGATGTTGCCTTGCTGGAGCGCTGAGGCTGGGACCACAATCCCCTGGGGGTTATTGGAGACTCCAGACAGGGAATCGGGAGAATTCTGCAGGAGGTCCTGGCGGTAAGGGAGGCGCGGTGCGGTGACACTGTCACTGAGGCCTTAGATGCTGCAGCCCCCCATTCCTCCTCTCCCCTTCCCCTTCTGCCTTCCCTTTTCCCTCCTTCCTGCTCCCACCCCATACTGAAATCCAGAAGGCGGTTCTCTTGGCTTCCCTAGAAAGAGTGAATAAGAAGCCTCGACACAAAATAACCAGCAACAGTCACCTGTGTAACCGTTTCACTTCCCTGCAGACCTCAGCCCCAAATTAGCCCATAAACCAGTGGCCCCCCACCTCAGTTACACTTTGGAATCTCTAATATTGATGTCTGGGTTCCAACTCCAGAGATTCTAATTCAATTGATTCAATTGGTCAAAGGGTGTGGGCTGGGCTTGGGATTTTTAAATGTTCCTCCCAAACCAGCCGTCAAGTTCCTTCTGACTTATGGTGACCCCATGTGAGTGAGAGCAGTACTGTGCCCCACAGGGTTTTCAATGGCTGATTTTTCAAAAGTAGATTGTTAGGCCTTTCTCCCAAGGGGATTCTGGTGGACTTGAACCTCCAGCTTTTTGATTAGCGGCTGAGCCCGTTAACTCTTCACACCACTCAGGGCCTCCAAACCCTCCTCAGGTGACTCAGATGTGCAGCGAGCATTAAGAACCTTGCTTTACGTGATCAGCACCAACTCGATCTTCAGACTCAATAGTCTCAGACGCTTTCCCTGCCCACCCTACCCCAGCCTCTCCTCTTCACATCCCTGCATCCCAGCATCTATTACACTAAGCTCCACGCACAAAGCGGACTCCAACTTTTTGTCAGTGGCTTGCACACAGTGGACACTAAAATATTCATTAAATAGAAAAAAAAGTTGCCCAGCCTCAGCACCACCCTGCTCCTGAGGGCATCTCCAATGAGCCTCAACCTCGGCCGCCCTTCAGCACAGTTCACTGATTCCTTCCTTCCCCGACTCCAGCACAGACTCCCGGGGAAGCAGAGTCTGCCTTGGCCCGGCACTGTCAACCTGCCCCCAATTTTCCCAGGAGACAATCCTTGCAGTTTGTTTTCACAGTGGCCCAAGCAGCTAAGACATTTTTTTCCAGCATTGCATGCTCCTCATCATTGTGTTTTAACAGTGGGGCAAGGAAGTCCTTGGACTTTATGTTAAGGGACTCCTTGTGCCCGGGACGGAGGCTTGGCCACAGGCCTTCCAGAAGGGGTACTGAGCCCTCCCCTCCCCTCCCTCCTCCCTGGGGACATCACTCCTGGGAACCTATGCTTGGTGGCTGAGCGCTCAGAGTTTGTGAGGAAGGAACTGGATGTATGAGAGGTTGGTGTCCCCTAGGTTTGTTTGGAGGAAGCAAGATAGGCGTTGAGTGAGGTGTAGAGGGAGGAGCATTTGGAGGCCTGCCTTCTGTCATTGGCCTGGGTCTCTTAGCTCCCCTCACCCCTCTCCTCATCTGAATATCAGGACTGAACAAGCTAACAGGTCCAAGGCCATCTGGGGCTGCCGTTCTCTAGGCCCAAACCCATTCTCCTGCCTTTTTCAATTCCCATGCTCAAATGCTGGAATCAGAAGACTTGAGCTATGAAGACTTGGGAACAGGTACACAGTTCAGAAAATAACTAAACAGATGGCAAAGGAAGGCCCCTAGCTCCTAGTTTTTGTCTCAGGACCGGAAGAAGCTTGGGCCTTCAGCCCTCAGGGGAGTCTAGAGTTTGGGGTGAGGAGAAATGTGTGTTTGGAGGACACCTGGAGCTGGTGGCTGTCTACCTATGGCAACAGACAAAGGTCTCAGCCTCTCAGAGAGGAAGTCGGCGCTGGTCTGTAAGCCTCACTTGATTCAGCTGATTAAATCCCTCTTGGTGTCTCCTCCAGAGCTGCCTTTCTTCCCTCCTGGACTGTCCCTCGCCCAGAGGTGGAGGTGTATCTCCTATAAATAAGCAGCTCCAGAGGAACAGGAGTCAGGCTCTCCCTCACCCACCTGGTGCCCAGGGCCTCTTGCTCTGGCTCCTCTGGGCGAGCGGGGCGGTGTGTGGGGAGGTGGAGGCCTGGCTTCTCTTCTTGGGCCACCTTAGCTGCTGTGACCTTGGGCAAGAGAGAGGGCGGCTCTCGTCTTGGCATAGCCTTTCTGGGATTCTTTGAGAACCTCCCAGCCAGTCAGGTTTGTTCCTTGAGAAGAATTCTTGGCCTTCCAGCTCACGCAGGCTGATGGGAGTCTAAATCTGAGTCTGACATTCAGAAGCCTGAAACTGGAAGGGCCTTAAAAGCCAACTTCCTGATGTATGGAGAAGGAGCTGATATTTAGAGACCCAAGTGATTTGCCCAAGGTCACACAGCTGGTCAGCAGCCAGAGGACTAGAACACAGGTCTCCTTCATCTAGAAAACCCCAGACACCCACTCTGTGCCAGGTCCTGGGCTGCCACATGCTTCTGCGGTTATGCCCTGCCTCTTCCTGTACAGCCCGTGGGCAGAGCATCACAGGGGTTCAATTAATAGTCAACGACATCACGGTGAACAGGCAAAAACAACGCCAACCCACAATCAGAGGCAACATGGGCACCAGAGCACAGAGACCAGCTTGGGAGGAGCAAGTCTTGTCCCTTCTCTGGGTCTCCTCATTCGGACAACGTGCCTGGCCGAGTGCTGGCATCCATGAGCCCCCAGCCTGAGTTTTCAGTGTGAATTTGCTCCCAGGTTGAGCTCCCCTCATTCCATCGTCCCAGTCAACCATTCTCATAGGATATAAACCAGTATTAATGTTATTTCAAACTGAAGCAAGCGGGGAAGGTAAATTTAACAGAGAAGGGGGCATCCTCCTGCCATTCACCAGAAAACCAATGGAAATGACTTCAATAATCTCCTATCTGGAATCATCCATGCCATGATGCTCCTTTTTTGCTAAGGATCTTTCAGAATGCCAAACATAAAAAGTTGTCCCAGTTTTTCTTTACCCCAAAAAGTAGCCAGCAAGGTTAGGAAACCACCAGATAAGTCAGTAAAATAAATACAAGATGTGTCCCTTGGGATTCTACCAGGGCGCATTTTTACAAATGAGTGAGATATCATCTGGATACTTCATCTGTTTATTCAAACTCTGGCTGGTTCTCTACCTTGTGGTTTGGGCAGCTTCCAGGCCTGCTTGCCCGGTTAGGGTAACTAAGTCAATTTATGCAATGAATCCGACTCTTGTCTCTCCTGCCCTTCTCCCCACTACTCTGGGTCTTTGGTTGTTTAAAGAACCTTGATGAGGAGGTGCTGAGAGGGAGCTGAGTTATGTCAGCAAAGGGATGGAATGGAAAACCTCAGCGGGAGAGACCCGACCTTGGTCAGGGCTGGCAAGTCTTAGCTGGGGCCAGAAAGAGGCAGTGAAATCTTGGCCTCCCTGAGGTCCAGGGGAATAATATTCATTCCTTATGTTTGTGAACGTGAACTGGAGCAGTGGTTCTTAACCTGTCTGAGCGTTAGTACCACTGGGGTGTTTGTAAGGCACAGATTCCCAGAGTGACTGAATAAGACTCTTAGGAATCTATATTTTCTATAAGCTCCCTCGGATGGTCCCAAAGATCAGAGGGGTCTGAAAACTACCTATTTGCCATACATGCTGAATAGTATCAAGCATTCTTTCACCAATTCCAGAACCCCTTGCTGTCAGGTCGATTCCAACTCATAGCGACCCTATAGGACAGAGTAGAACTGCCCCAAAGGATTTCCAAGGGGCGCCTGGTGGATTCAAACTGCCGACCTCTTAACCACTACGCCACCAGGGTTTCCAGTGCATCGTATATTTCTATAAATATTTCACCACTAGAGTTCATTTTAATCTCAGAACAGCCGGGGAGAAAAGATTCCATTTGCCTGAAGAGGAATTGAGGCCTAGCGAGTAGAGGTGACTTCCCAGGGTCAAATAGCTGTGTCTCAAACCTAAGTCTCCTGGCTCTGAGTGCAGAACTCATGCTTAGAAGGAGAATATGTGCTTTGGAGTCAGACAGCCAGACTCCAACGTGAGCACAGTGTCTGGCACATCTGTTGTTGTGAGGTGCCATCGAGTCAGTTCCAACTCACAGCGACCCTATGTACAACAGAACAAAACACTGCCGGGTCCTGCACCATCCCTCACAATCATTGTTCTGCTTGAGCCCATTGTTGCAGCCGCTGTGTTGATCCATCTCATTGAGGGTCTTCCTCTTTTGTGCTTTCTTCCTTGGATAAGCTCACCCCACCGGGAGGAGGTATAGCCAGCATTGAAAACCTGTTTCAGAAGTCCTAGCACCTCCTGGGTCTTTACTTAGCAACAGGAAAGACTCAGCTGGGGCTCCATCCCGAGACCCTAGCCTCTCCACACGCACCCTTCTTTCCTCCTCCCTGCCAAGAATGTTCCTGGGCCAAGGTGAGCCCCAGAGTTCTCGGCTGGGTCCCTGTCTCGTACTAGCTCTGTGATGTGACTTTGCAGCTATTTCAGGTCGAGTCTTAGTCTCTGGCTCTGTAGCATGGAGACCATGGGCTCTGGATCTCTGGGAACATCCTACAGGTCTTGTCTCAGGAGGGAGCTGCTATGACAGCAGTAGAAACATCTGGGGAGAAACTGTTGGCTAAGCACATGGCATTATTATCTTCTCGACAGCTTCCCTTGGGGCTTATCAGAATACAGACCTGGTGGATGCTGTTCTGTCTAGACCCAAATAAAGCCATTTCCTTCCAGGCTCCTTAGCACACTCATAAAGAGGTGAGAAGCACATTTGGTACTCTTTTAGTGACATTTTTCAGCAGCCAACCCCCTGTTTGGATTGCTCAGGAACCAGGGTCTGAGAGCTGGTTATCCAGACTAAGAGCTCTTTGTCTTGTTCATCAGGAGCTTGGCAGTCATGTCCCTAATCCTCTGGAAACTGCCGGAAGCCAGGGACTTGTGGGTGGTGGGTCCCTGGTTTCTCCAGTGGAGCCATTCCATCCAGACTGGGCAGTGAGGAGCCTCCTGTGAAGTTCTGCTTTCTAGTAGCACCCAGGGAAACAGGCCAAAA